TGATGAAGGACACTTTCCGTGTTTCATGTCTGTCATGTGGTTTTATAATTAATATTTATTAAATATTTATCGTACTGATTATAATGGTACTCTTTCGTTTCTCTTCGTTTTATTAACTAACCTATCCAATTTACACACACACACACACACACACACACACACACACACACACACATACATATATATATATATATATATATATATATATATATATACAAAGCCGACTTTCCCTGACGATCCGTTTAGGTGAAACCTAGGTAGATGTGTCAGGCTCACTAGGTGTATCTAGGTCTGCTCTACGGTTGTATTGAGCTCTTTTGTTAGTTAGTTGTTTACTCGTGTCGGGGTTTTTTCTTTGGGCTTCAAACCTGTATCTGTGCGACTTTTTTCGACAGACTTTCATGTTTGTAGCTCTTTCTTTTTTTCAAACCTTTTTTTTTCCTCGAGATTGATTTGATTATTGGCAAATCAAAAATTCGAGGGTTTTTCGAAAACAGTATAGTTATCTATCTATCTATCTATATATATATATATATATATATATATATATATATATATATATATATATATATAATGCGAATTAACTTATTTGATCTCATATGGGTGGGTTGTTTTCTGACCATGAGACCCAGGTTCAAATCTCACCATGTTCGATTTGTCAGTAAGGAGACTTCTTGATGTTGTCAGTCAGGAGGAGGTGCCACCTTTTGAAAGTGCCTGAAAACGATACCACGGGTTGATCTAAGACTTTTGAGCGAAATTGGGTATAGAGAACCCTTGGCGACTGCCGATCGTTGTGCTAGCACGAAGTCAGAAGTCATCGTGACCGAGGGTTTCGGTGTGCTGACCTTGTCCTAGATTATTCAACACTCTAAATAACACGTAACTAAGGTCTGCTCAGCATACCTACCGTATAAACCGTGGGTGGGGTTTGTAGGCGCTGAATAGACACAAACGCGCCTTTGGGATTGGTTAGCCGCCTTGGTAGACGGGTATCCTCGAATACGAGTAGCCAGCTAATAATATTATATATATAGAGAGATAGATAGATAGATAGATAGATAGATAGATAGATAGATAGAATGAGATAAATATAGATAGTATCAGAATGAGATAGATAGATAGATAGATAGATAGATAGATAGATAGATAGATAGATAGATAGATAAAGAACAGACTGGGATAGATAGATAGATAGATAGATAGATAGATAGATAGATAGATAGATAGATAGATAGATAGATAGATAGGAACAGACTCAGATAAATATATAAACAGGCTGAGATCGGTAGATACAAACAGACTGTAGATATACAGATATGAACAGACTGAGATAGATAGATAGGAACAGACTGAGATAGATAGATAGATAGATAGATAGATAGATAGATAGATAGATTTAAATCATATTAATTACCCCATTGATGAAAGGAGAAGTTATAAATTTCCTAGTGTCTTTACGCGTAACATAATTTAACTCGACTGGAATATTAACTCAGCTCTTCAATCTCCAATTCCAAGCTGTTATTCATGACACCAAGCTTACATTACCTGGTATTCCTAAGAGGTCACCCATATAGGTACTGATCAAGCTCGACGTTGCTTAACATTGGTTATTGTACGAGAACCTGTGTTTCATCGTGGTATAGCCGTAAGAAATTTTTCCTCTAGCATGTCAATTCAAAGATACCCCCTCATAAAACAATCTACAAAAATAGGCTCTTTAAGATGGGAGCTTCTTCCAAATACCGTATACTTAACAGATTTAGCCCCTACAGGTTGTTTGGTCACTAAAAACAAGGAAATGAAAACGGTCCTTTAAATGTGGAAATGAAAAATGTATTTTCTTGTTCGACTACATGCGTTAAAAAAGAGGATTACCTTTTTTTTTTTTTATAGATAATGCTTAGATTTAGAGAGCACGCTTGTTTTTATAGCCTTTGTAGCAAAAGCTTTCGGGACACTCTAATATATTTTTCCCTGCGTCAATCGCGGATAACGTGAGTTTGCCCCATGTCGCACACCATTCTCAACCTCTAACCGAAGGAATTCGTTTAAAGACACATTGCTTTTAGCCAAAGAGCCGGATGCATCCTCTCAAAGTTTATTCGCCTATTTGTGTGTATTGCAGGGTGTGTTCGACATTTCGTGTTTGTTTTTGCGCGGGAAAAGTAAATCTGACGAGAGAGAGCATCGTGGCAACATCTGCGAGCTATCTGGAAACAGAATTCAGCCCGGCTAAAAGCGCTTCCGGATGTACTAATATATACGCATGCGCGTTTTTTTTTTAGAAGACATGTGATGCACTCCATCGTGATCGCAGAATTTCCAACCAAAGTGTAGTTTACCTTCTGAGTAAAGTCGTCTTTTGCCAAACAGTAATAACCTAAAGTTCATGATGGCGCGTCGATTGCTTTACATAATAACTTTATATATATATATATATATATATATATATATATATATATATATATATATATATATATATATATATATATATATAATCAGGTGTAACAACAAAATTGTTAAGTTGTTAGATTAACATTTGAACCGTTGTATCTTACAAATGATTAAAGATATCTTAATGGAATTCTCCGAAATTTTTCTAACCCTATTGGGCTCTACTTTGAACAATAAGAATTTATTTAGCTCTAAATTGAAACGATGACCCACCCCCTCTTCCTGGTGTGATCTTATTTAGTTTTTCTGACTACTGTTCCCTTTTTTTTAAAACTTATTCACCATTCTATGGTTAGTTCTTGAATGAACTTTGAAAAAGGAAGCCAGAGTATGAATCTGGGTACCATAACTGAAGGCCTTAATGATCTTTTTCCTCACACCACTGCTCAGTTGGGAAGATATAGTGGTGGGTGCTGACACAAAATGATTTTAAGCTGTTCTTTTTCTAGCTGAATAACTCAAAGGGTTTTTTCAGGGATTCTTACGACAAATGGTGTCAAGATGGCCAAACGTCTTTTCTTAAAATCTGGGAAAAGAAACTCGATTAATTTAGTGTTTTTTTATATTAAAGATTTTATGGGATGGTCAGTTATTCCATGCCGTTATACGATTTTGCTGCTAAACCCGATATATATATATATATATATATATATATATAGGAGAGACAGAGAGAGACCCTATGATACAGCGAAAGTCTGTCTGTGGATGATAATATATATATAGGGAGTATATATATATTAATTCATCGAATCTAAAAGAATCCTCAACAAAATGCACTGGACGGCCGTTTCGTACTATTTTGGAGACTCATCAGCAATGCGCATCCACTACCGGCATTCGAACCCGAACCGCTCCGATACAACGCAGGTGTCTTACCAACTGTACCAACGGGCCTCGGCGACGAGGAAGTGACTCGATATAGACTTGATGTAGTTCCGCCACTCACAAATTCCGTGGTGATAGTCATCCAAATATTCATAACCCAACGGATTTGTCCCAATAACCGCGACTTTCCTTTCTCTCGAACCGCTCCGTCGCACAGAATTAGCTGAGTCAAGTAGCGTTATACAATAGAATTTTGGGGAATTAGGCAAATCATTACAGTAATTCATCGAGTCTAGGAGAATCATCAGGGGAATGCAGAAATCACTGGACGGCCGTTTCATCCTATCTTGGGGACTTATCAACAGAGCGGATCCACTACTAAAATTCGAATTGGAGCATTTTTATGGCAGAATCTTTCAGAATCAAAATGCTAGCGAAGAATACTCATTTATATTGAGAATTAGCTTACTTGATCTCATGCCAGACTATGCTCAACTTATTTAACGTATTTTAACCTTATAACCGATGATAGCTACATATTTCTGAGGATTGGGAGTCAAGAATACGCCGACTGATTCACCGTGCAGATATCGAAAAGAACCTCCAACCTGTGGTTGACTGGGGCAGGAAATGCCTTGTAAACTTTAATGTCTCCAAAACAAACCAAATTCTTAATGACACAAGTTTTTAGCACAAGCTCAACAACATCGTCATTCCCTCAACTGTTTCAATCATCAGTATATATATATAGATAAATATATATATAAATAATTAAATATAATATAAATAAATATAAATCAGATTTCTTATATATATATATATATATATATATATATAATTTTTAAAAAATATGATTTCATCGCGACACAGAAGTTACTGTTTCGAAATTTGACTCAAGTCCTAAAGTTTAATTTCAATATGAAACTTAAAATTTAGAGTACCGTTTCATTCTCAAGCGATGTTTAGAATGACTAACTAAAGAAAATATTTCTTCAGTTAGTTATTCTAATATTGCTCGTTTTCTCACATACGTGGCCAACTGAGCCTACTATACTGTGTAGCAAAAACAAAAATTAAAAATATATAATGGCAATACATTATCCATCGCACCCTGAAAATACATATATATATATATATATATATATATATATATATATATATATATATATATATATATATAGTAAAACTGCCTCCATTTATAAGAACAGTTCTCAGTACTGGAGTTGAAATGTTTATCAATACAGATAATATTGCATATTGAATATATATATATATATATATATATATATATATATATATATATATCATTTGTGGACACAAATTTAAGGGAAAGGATCTATAGGACAGGACGACAAACGAAATTTACATATACATATTTGTGCTTGTGTGTGTGCGTGTGGATGTGTTCGTGTGTGTGTGTGCGTGTGTGTATGTCGGTGTGCGTGCATTCAACATTGTGCTTTTATCACTTTATCTCTCTCTAGTTTTATTCTTTTTCGGGGAGGGTGGGGGTTCATATAGGGGGGCGCAAGTAATTGTGCATGTTCCCGTTCGTCTCGATGTGCATTTCATTCTTTTATGGGCTATGCAGCTCGGATTCTTGGCTGCTCGTGAGTGGGCGTCTGCGCATGCGCGCTCTTCCAGACAGTCTGAAAGTCTACAAGGCTGGAGCCAATTGGAATTGGAATCATGAATATTCCGATGTCTGGAGACATCTGACGAACACCACTTCCGTAAACATTTTAAAAGGGAGCCTTTTAGTCTAAACCGAACAGCAGCTGATGGGATGAAGTCATGACGTGTCTTGCATCACTTCCTCCTCCTCCTCTTCTTCCTCCTTCTCCTCCTCTTCATCCTTTTCCTCCTCCTCCTCCTTGTCTTTCCTTTCTCGTCTTTCTTATTCTTCTTTTACTTAGTAGTAGTTATAGTGTCATTTCTTCTCCTGGTTCATTCCTCTCTCCTACTCATCATCATCATCATCATCGGATGTAGCAGCAGCAGCAGCAGCAGTATCAACATAGGGATCAGATTGAAAGGGAAGAAATGAAATGTCTATTTCAGTTAACCCTTTTTAACTTGACAATCATCGTCATCGTCGTCGTCATCATCATCATCATTATCATCGCCTTTATCATTTATATGCTTTCATATATTCACACGATGTTTGTATTATAAACATTACTGTAACAGTAGAAATCTTTCAGAAGATATTTTGTATTTTCTCATCTGTTTTCTTCTTTTTTTCTTCTTCTTCTTTTTTTCTTCTTCTTCTTCTTCTTCTTCTTCTTCTTATTATTATTATTATTATTATTATTATTATTATTAATTTAAAATCTTAAATTATTCAAATTATCTTTTTACCACTTCCGCTTCTTTCCGTTCCTCTGTCTTTTCTTATTGTCTATTTTCAGAGAAATTATTTTTCAATTTTTTATTGCTTTTTTCTTTTCTTCTTTCTTTCTTCTTCTTTCAAATTCTTCTCTCACTCTCTTTTCTTTTATTTATTATATTCATTTTATGAGGAAATATTTTTGGAATCATCATCATCATCATCATCATCATCATCTTATTATTATTATTATTATTATTATTTTAAAAATAAATTCTTTCAAATGGTTTCTTTGCCATTTTCCTTCCATTATTATTATTGTTGTTGCTATTATAATAATAATAATAATTATTATTATTATTATCAATTCATTCATTCATTCATTCAATAGCAAATGGCGTTGCAAATTACCGCTAAACCGAGAGAAAGTCTTCTCATATCCTTCAACAAAATTTGGGCTGTTTTGGTTGTTTTCAACAATACGCACATTTGGACGCTTGCAACATTTTCCGTAATTTTTCTCTTGGCAACTTTCGGATTATTCCTATAACTACTGTCACTACTGTCGCCTTCATTTTTAACCGCTTTTTCAACTCGTCGGCCATGTTGAAATACTTATCCACCTTTTCACTTTTAACTTAATAATCGGGACAGCGAAATCCTATATTTTGACATGTCGCTTCTACTTGTTTGCTAAATCCTGTCTTCTGGTCTGGACTGAGAGATCCGGTTAAGTCCCAAAGAAACGGAGTATTTCACGTGTTTCATTCTCCGGGATTAGATTCTGGTGTGTGGTAGGAACACAATCGCTTGCACAGTTCGCATTAGATGTCTTTCCCCGTTAAGGTATGCTTAATCTTGTAATAAGAGTAATTTGCTATATTCACTGATTACGCTTCATTTTTATTTACACAGTCTATATAGGCTGTTTTGTCTGTGTTTTATTTGTCTTTGTGTGTGAGTGAGAGATTGATAAAAATATATATGTATATATTTTGTAAAAGAGAAAAGCGTTATGTGTTTTGTTCCTTCAAGATGTGAAAGGATCATTGCTTTCGACATTTCCCGATCTTTGTAGCTCTTAGTAAAATTGTGTTTTTTCACTATTTCTCTACATCTCTGGGTCCCCCAACACAAAGCCGTTAGCTAAGTTAGGCGCTGTTTTCTTCTGCTCCTTTCGCTTTCAGTATGCCCTGTGAGTGTCAAATACTCGGAGCCCCCTTTCCTCATTATGCGCCCTTGGAATTTCAACTGTCTCTTTCTGATGTTAACTATAGATATCCTTTATATTTTCATTATCTCCAGAACTTTCTCACAATAACATTCTCAGCATCCTTCTGTAGAATCATATTGGTGTTGCTTCAAGTCTCTTATTCATCTCTGAGGAGATTGTCCAGCTTTTACTGCCATATAGGAGGGTTGATATCGCATAACATTTCAGCACTCTGTTTTTTTTTGGGGGGGGGTCCAAATGAAATTTCCTCTCTTAATACTTTACATAGCTTTTGGAAGACATCCCAATGCATGTTTCTGTGTCTCCCTTTCCATTCTATGTTAAAACTCTTCCTAGATATTTAAATATTGGTTCTTGCTTGATTTTGGCATCACCGATTTGTAATTCGCATGTCGGGTAGGGGGCTCTTCTTTTTTGCTGACACCCATACATTATGCCTTCTTTAATACTTAGTCCTTTCTTCTCGCTTTCCTTTACTAATTTCTGTAGGAATTAATCAGTAACTCAATCACTGACGAAAGTCAATATCTTCAACAATAATGTAGGAAGATATTCAAGCCATGGTCTACATCATTACCCCGTTATGCGTTTCTCAAACTGTAGAATCCCCTGTGAACTATCGAGCCGCAACTTCACCACGCTAGCCGTACCTGATGCTGTAAACTTCCATTTGCATTATAGGGCCACAACTTAACACGCTAGATGTTTCTAACGTTGTAGGCTCTCCTGTGGATTTCAGAGCCACCACTTCACGAATTTATGCATTTATGACATTATAGACACCCCTGTAGAGTATAGGGCCACAACCTAAATGCGTTATGCATTGATGTCCCTGTAAACTGTCCAGCCATGGTTGAAATTGCCAAAAACTTAAGTTGTTAAAGTTAAAAACTTAAGTTGTTTCTGAAAGAAAAGGAAAGAATCATAAGACGCTTAAACTTAATTCACATTTAAAATCGGTCCAAGTTATTGGAATGCCCTTTATAATTGTTTTCCATCCCATTTATGAGTCCTCCTTCTTGCGTTTACTTTTTATTCCTTTCTGCCACGGATTTTTAGAAGTTGGTGAATAGCCTGCCCTAGACTCCTTTTGTCCTTTTAGAGTCGTTTGATTGGAAGTAGATGATAACGAGCCTTCTTAATCCTTGCCTGCTTTTACAACCTGGCATCATTGTTTCTCGGGTGTAACGTCTTAGGAATTGTCAGTAGATTTCTTGCTTTTTGGATCAACGTTCTTGAGTTTCGAAGTCATGTTTTCACGATAATGAATTGCCGTTTGGCGGGGCGCCATTGCTCCTGTAGTTTCGCTTTTCTCCTCGTTTAAGATCAACACTGCAAGCTTCTCAGTCGATTTCCTTTCCTTTTGGATGAAGTGACAGACAGTTTGTATGTAAACTTTCAGTTTCTTTTTAAACTTAACAACAAAGATATCTGGGCAGACGGACATTGGCTTACTGGACATTTGCGCCTCAAAGAGTTGCATCCCTAGAAAAATGCGTTCCTGGATAATTGAAGACCTCTGATAACTTTTTAAAGTTACCATACTTTCTTTCCCTAAGAGATGCTAATTGCAAACCAAATTTTAATTTTTCTAAACAAGCAAAAAGGTAGTTAACGTAAATTTTGAAAGAAAAAAATATTGTTAAATAATTGTTTGATATAGAAATTTGCACACCAATATCTTTAATCCCTTTAACCAGCAGAAAGTTAGTTACCATAAATAAAAAAAAAGAGAAAAAAAATTATTTTTTAAAGCAAGAGAAAATTAAGCTAGCAGTTTCAGTTCAATCCAGCAATGCGTACCACAAACATCTAAAAGGTTCTGGATTTTATAGATTATATTTTATTTAGAACCCATGGCTAACTTTCAAAAATCAAAAGCTAGTGGAAAAATATTTGTGAACAATTAAAATTACAGCTACCACTATTATTAGAAAAGAACCGATGAAATAAATACATACTGTCGATGTGTAGAGCGATCTTGCAACACTGTTAATCTGCCATTGCATTTTAAACAAAAATAAAATTTTAATTTTTTTCCTTTTTGGAAAATTGATCATTACTATCTATTCTTTTTCAAAATTAATGATAATTGCCTGTGAAAGCTTCAAAAAATTATCAGAGTTACGCAATTATCCAGGGAAGCATTTGTCGTGGGACGCAAACGTACAGGGACGCAATTGTCTGGTATGCAATTGTCCAGGGAAGCATTTGTCTCGGGACGCAAACTTACAGGGACGCAATTGTCTGGTACGCATTTGTCTAGGGACGCAACTCTCCGTTCAGCACGTCAGTAATAATGGTTCTTCTCAGCTTATTATATTTTGCAGAACTCTAAGGTTTGATATTTTGTATTCACCATTCCCCAACCCAGTTCCTGTTCTGCTATCCAAGCTCGTTAGTGTTAGTTAATCACGGCTTCCCTCTACTCTGCTTGCCTTCAATATGTCCTGTGAGTCTCAAATTCTCCTAGCTCACTTTCCTTATTAAATGTTCTAAAAATGTCAGTTGTCTCTTTCTGTTACTAAGTATGGTAATGGCAATCGATTCCTTGTAAGCAACCATTCGCCATTCATTGACAAAACAGTCAGTGCTGCTGCCGGTTGAAATTTATAAAATCTTTCTCTTAAAACTATTTTCAGGGAATAGATTTCTCAAGTCTTTTAACTGGTATCGCTCTGTCTAGCACTAATATGGTTTTTCCTTCCTGACCTTTTGTTTGAACAAATGTTGAACGTCCCAATCTTGGTGATGTCATTATTTTCTCTTCTAGTTACATGTGCTATCCATTTTAGGTGTTGCTGCTGTTGAAAGTCCTCAAGCAATGCGGTTCATTATATTTAATACGGTTCTTTGTTTGGGATTCAGTAACACCAGTCTACAAAGCTCGAGGAAGGTGGTTTTTCGCCAAGAAATACAGGTTTCTTTCGCTCAAACCCATTTTAAGCATTCATTTGAAAAATCCGTTGCATTCATTCTAAATCAGTTTCGCGCCAGACCTGACATATACAGAATGTCCATAAAGTTCGTGTGCACTTTAAGAAATTTATAACTTTATTTGTATTTGCGATAGAAATAATCTGTAAAAAATGTTATAAAGTTTATTGTACATAGTTTTAAGTATAGCTAAAATAATTAATGTAATTTCAGGC